AAAATAAATATATTATCTTACTTTGTTTTTGTGTTATTTATTTATTTTTATTTTTTTTATTTCAGGCCAGAAAAGTTGAAGAATATGGGAAGGCAGACTTTGAAGAAATTGTTAAAAAGCATTTTAAAATGGTTTTTGTCCCTAATTGGTTTACTGTGGACCTCAAGACAGGGGTAGGTAACAAATTGTGATGAACAGTTGATTTAAATAAACACTTTTAAGAATACACAAATATAAAGTTATTCATTGCAGTTTTGTCTTAGAATTTTAAAAGAAAATCATAACTCTTTAATAGGTGAGTGGTAAAGTAATAGCACTAGTTGAAACCTTTTCATTTCAGATGGACAATTTAATAGCCTTGATATGCTATATATTCAGTTTATCATATCTAAACACCTCTGCACAACACTAATCAAAGGTTCTATTGAAATATTGTTTGGTATAATGTTAGGATAACATTTGTAAAAAATTGTTAATTAGTTGTCAACTTTATCAATAAATTTTCACAAGTTTTGTCTCACATAGCCTTCTCTTCCTGTTTTGGTGCTTAAAATATTTTTTTCGTGTTTAAAATATTTTTTTCATGTTGTGTGACTAAACGCTTTATAAATTTTTCTACTATAAATTTCTTGATCTGTTTGCAAAGGGTTCATCCGTTTTAAAGATGAAGATTTCTAGTTTTCCTTCTGGTAAATTTTTTGAAATAACACTTAAACATCATGACACTCATCTGTTAATACATACTATTAGGGATCGTGAAGGTAATTTGGTTCTTTTTTTTTTTTTTTTTAAGTTATTCTCCTGTGTTGTGATCACTCGATACCCTGGTAAATATAAGGCCTCGTAAAATTATCATAGGATTAAGAAAGAAACTGATTATGGAATTCCCAGATGAAATTTTTCTTAGAGGGATAGTGTTATACACCACTTTCCAGCTGCTCACACTTCACAATGCTTGCCCTATGTTTCAGCTGCTCAAACTTCATTTACTTGCTCTTTGTTTCAGCTGCTCAAACTTCAAAATGACTTGCTCTTTGTTTCAGCTGCTCAAACTTCAAAATGACTTGCTCTTTGTTTCAGCTGCTAACAATTCATCTAGAAGAATCAGATTGTTTTGCTGCCTGGATGTCCACAAGAGATTTAGGCTTAGAGCTCCCTGCAGATGCTCCCGAGACCAAGAGTAAGTCTTTTGCCTCACACAAACTCTAGAAAGGAAGTTTTGGTCTGTTGCATATTTTTGTTAACTCCTCTTTTGATAGTATGAATTTTTAAATAACTCTGGGGTATGGTGGTTGAATCACAAAGCACTTGACTTCCAAAATAAATTTGTTCAAATACCACTAGAATCTTTCTGTTGGAGATTTGAGAATACCTCTCAGCTCTCCCACCCCCGTCTCCTTTGTTTAATTTAGTTTTGCTCTCAGTGTATCCCTATTGGTACGTAACAATTTTTGTCTGAGGGTAAAGAGGGTTAGCCATTGTTCTTGCCACGTAACACCCTCTTAAATCCTTGGCCACAGAAACTCAAAATTAGCTGACAATTATTTTGTTCTGGTTCTCAAACTTTTTGTGTGTTGTCACTAACATTGATGACATTTGATTTTGACAGCCAACATTGGTACTACATTACTTCAAGCCTTGTTGGACTACTGGCCTAAGTGTCATCCTGAGGACAGTCAGGGTAAGTATAGAGTTACTTTCACTAGAGTTGTAGTGAAAAGTAAGCTTGTTTGCCTTGACATATGTGTTCTTGTCTGCCATACTTTCAGCTGTAGATTGTGCAATATATGATTGAGAGAAAGGCAGCATTATAATTTGAAATAAATTTGATTCATAGAAATAAATCTGAATTAGCATGTAACAAAACATTTTCGTTAGTAGAATATTTTTTTAGTTATAAAGTTAAAAAAAAATTTTTAAGACAAATACAACTTTATTCTGTACTATAATTGCTAAATGTGATCTGTTTATGTCTAATAAGCCTGTGTAATAAGGAGAAATATTAATTTTAATGGCATGTTGCTGTGTGCTGACTTAAGATGTAATGTAATAATTTAAACTTTTAAATAGTGATTTTATACAGTTTATTTTTTTCTTGTTTGAATAATCAGATCCAGAGCAAGAGAAACTTCCTGTGCCATATTTTACAGTGCCTGGGCATACACCTGTGATATTTAGGTTTGTTGTTTGTAACTTTTGAAATTTGAACATGAAAGTAATTCATGTATTCAATTTTTTAGTTTTATTTGAAATAGATAAATTTTTACTAAGTTAGTTGTGCATTAAATTTAGTGGTTTGTAGGCTAAAAAACAATATTTATTTTCTCAGTGAGGTTGGAGGTCGGACGCTGTTCCGTCTGCTAGCTAGAGATGCTGGAGGTGAGACGGAGCACATGTTACTAAAGGAGACAGTGCCTCCCTGGGTGCTTGATGTCATTGTTTTTGTAAGTTTCTACATCTAGTCAGTTTGTCGGACATTATTCATTATATTTGTTTGATTCATCATACTAAGAATGTAATATTTGAAATTTTCTTTAGTGGTCTCCAAAAGATATTATTAATTTTTTTTGCTGTCTGTATGTCCGTCAATCTGCCTGTTAATTTTAAAGCTAAAAATCCGAAAAAGGCATTTGAAAATATGATTTAAACATTGTCTGCATCTTGTTTGTAATAAATGTAACAGTAACTGAATGTGAATGATTACACTTTTAACATTAATTCTGCATGTTGTATGTACATTTAAGTCTAATTTTAAAATAAAATTTATTAGGCTACTTTTGTTATTCACTAGTTGTGTCTAACAAAAAACAAAGTAGTGAATCTTTGTTTAATGTAAAGTCTAAATACAAACTATAGCCTTTCAAATAACTTAATTTATTTTGTTTCCGTTAGCACATACACATTTTGTATGTTTTTCTCGTTGAAAAAAAAAAGGTTTAAATTTTGTTAACAGAAAGAGATGCCAAAGTTTACCAAGCTGCCATTTTTCTTACAACCTCATCCTAGCACAGGCATCAAGCCAATCAAAAAGTAAGTTCTCATTTTACCCATTGTGCTTGGCCTACTTTGTCAAATTAAGCCTGAGCTGAGCTTTCAATCTGTGTACGTTAAGACTTAGGGAGTCTACCATGGGGAAAATACAGGAGCAGACACCCTAAGGTGCTAGCGCTATTGATTTATTATTACTTAAACAAATTGTTTCCCAAAATTAAAGAGCATAATTAATGCTGAAAATAAATTATTTATTATAGTTATAAAACAATTACAAAACATGACTCTTTACAGTAAACAAAATTGTTTCTGTGTGTATGCTGAAACATTAGATAAATAGCATCCTTAGGCACATGCCTTTTTAATTTGTTATCATGACCTTTTTTTTTTTTTCAAGTAATAGTAAAAGTATTCAACTAATAGTAAGAGTATTCAACTAATAGTAAGAGTATTCAAGTAAGAGAAAGTATAAAATTCTTTTATAAGTCTTCTAGTAGCTTGCTAGTACATTAATAACTTGTTTCTCTCCTGCCCAGAGATCGTCTGTCTGCCAGTGATATGATCAACGTTAGAAAAGTTATAGAACATGTCTATGAGAAAGTCCTTGGTCAAGGTTCAGACGCAGGATCACAGGCAGCCACAAGCAACAGCCATGAGAAGGAGACAGAAAAAGAGGAGGAGCCATCTTCCTGCGTGGCAGAGGAGAGAGTAGAACTACTGTGCAATGATGTGGTGAGTTAACATTCACACATTTCTTGGATGAAAGAAATTTCTAAAGAAGTTACTTTAACAAGAATAAAAAAAATTTAAGATCTCTTACTAAGTCATTGCAGTAAACTAATAGCTGTTTCTATACTTTGAATCTAGCATCTTGTTTCAGTCTAGGCTTGTGATTAGGCTTCTTTATTAAACCACTTTTAAAAAGCTTTTTTTTAAAGGTAAAATATTTTTATGGGTAGATTGTTTTACGTTCTTAAATTTAAATTTCTCCGTTCTCTTATTGCTTGAAGCCTTTTGAAATTTTGCTTTATCTGTAGCTTTGTGACCAAGCTCACAATACTAACTTTTTATGAGATGTGCAAAGTAAAAATTCAGTTTTCTTCATCAGACTAGAACCCCAGACCTTCTCCTACATGTGCTTAATCAATTGACCTCCCTAAAGCAACTTTTAAAATGTATTTTTTAACTCTTTATCTCCGTAATTATTTTCCATTTTCTGACAGAATTGTTCATTTTTCTTATTTGTACAATCTACCCTCTTATGATTAAACTTAAACTTCAATAACATTTTTGTTTGTTATCAGAAAACGTTACTTTTGGTATAGAATTATAGGAGAATGCATGCTCCTTTTATATAACATAAATACATGTTTATAAAACCAAAAATGAATTTAATTTAATGGGGTCAAATCAATGATGGTATTATTAATTAGGAGAGAAAGAGTTACATCTAATAATGCAAAGTGATACTTATATTTAAAGCCACTTTTTGTGTTCTGTGTGCAGGTCTTGGATCCCAATATGGACCTTCGGACCGTCAGACACTTTATATGGAAACAAACAGGGGACTTGACTCTACATTACAGACCTCTGTCCAAGAAAGACTATCCATCCTTTTCTAAATATTCAGCCATGACATCAGCGGAGACTTGATTCATTATTTGCCTCACTGTGATGTGTGAACAGAGTTGTTTCTCCATTGAAACAAACTATTTATACATGTTATAAAGTGTACATAACTTCAATGTTTTGAGCATCAAAATGTGTCTATTCGGAAGAACTCTTTTACCTGCCTTCTGGTCAGCTCTCACAGAGAAGTAGACGCTGGACTGGTTTGCACTTCAGATTTCAAAAAGATGATGCTGATCATCACTATGTTCAAAAAACGTGTTCTATACATAATCTACACAGCAGTTAATGACAGTTTCTTTCCATGATGCACCATTCCTACTGAGCTTGAACTGAGAAACATAGCTTTATATGGTTATGTGAAACAATTTGTTTTAAACTGCTTTGAAGATCTCTACAAATCAAGAGATACAATTTCATGAACAATGTGGCCATATCCTGCCAAAGGTAGTGGTGTCTTCTTTTGAAATAGACATGTTAGTACATTACCTGTAATGTTGGCACCTGCATTTAGTTTTGATTCCTATTTTGTCTGTGGTCTCAAGCTAGATATACATCTACAAAGTGTACTCAAGAAACTATTTTCTAATTTTACACAGATTTTACAGTGATACTGTTTACATTTTCTAGCTCCAACTATTTATTTAGGGCATCATCTTATCCCATGAATTATAATATAATGAGATCTTATCTGCAAGTCCAGTGATATAGATATATATTTTTATTGATAAGTTTGAATACTGTCCCCTCAACAGGGCACTTTTAAAAACCTTGACTGATATCTTTAAAGCAAATGTCTGCATCTTTTTAAACATGACATAGAGGATTATAGAGAACATTGTGATGTTTGTTTTCGGTACTGGTATAAATAGAATTCTAAAATAATGTATGCAAATTATAAACTAAGAAATGGTTTAGAAATTAATACTTAAGTTTTTGTTGAGAAAAAAATAAAACTGAAGTCTTTCAACATTTGTAAATTACACATTTAGCTTAAAGTCTGTGTATATTAAAAACACTCTCTCTAACGATAATAATAATATATATATATTATAAGAGCTATTTGTTTTTTTTTATAAATTTGTGTGCACCAATAATGGCACATAATGTGGGAATTTAAATAAAGGAGACTTAGATTCTTGCTTTTTTTTAAAAGTGAGAAAAATAAAAATGTTAATGTTTTCTTTTTTTTTTTTTTCTACCTCCAAAACTGGAATTCCCAGTTTCTAATGTACAGAAATAAGATTGTACATGATTCTGAAAGATTTGTTTAAGACTAGTGATTTTAAATTTTGGAACTTTTGTTTCCATATTGTTTGAAAAAATAATTTCTTTTTTTACTATCAATCAATTTATCTACTTCCAGTAGTTTTTTTGTGGCTTGAATAATTTCTTGTGATTATAAACTTTAATTGTAAGTGATCCTTTAAATAATTAAAGAGACATAGTTTGTTATTTGTACTGCATTATTTCTTTGTATAAATTGTTAATAAGCTTTTTTAAAACTTTTAATATCTGCAGGCTGCGCCTATTGAACATTCTTGGTGTTTAGTTTCACTCTGATTGTGTTGACTTTTCACTGATCAATGCAAACTGTGTATAGAGACTTATCAGAGATTTTCATACATGGTGGTAAAGCTTTAAATAGCCAGCTTTTTGGTGTACAAAATAATGGAAGTGTTGATAAGCTAGGTGTTTTATGTGATACATTTAGTGCAGTGCAGAATCCATTTTCTTCTATTCCTACCACACAATACATTCAATATGGAGGAGAGATAAGACTTTCATTCTGTCTTGAAACTTATTTAACCCTAAACTGGCTAAAAAGAGATTAGATATGCATCAGACATTTGTTAAAAGTAACGCTCAATTCTCAATATTAAGTTGGCAACAGTAAAGTATCCTTGACATCTCTAAAAGACTTAAATAAAACAAGAAAGAATTAAACAACTTTTATTGAAGTACCAGAATTGTGATGAATTATAAATTACAACATGTGTATCAAACAGTAGAAACAGACAAATTGAAAGAGATAAATTGATTACAAAATATACAACAAATAAATACATCAGAAAATAGATCTGGTAGAAGTAAAATAAACTCAAAGTCAGAAAATATAAAGATGTGTATGTTTACTATTTGGATTCCACGCAGGTAGGCTGTGGATAGGTATGAGATTTAAAAAATAATGGATAGATCACTACTTGCCTGATTAGGAAAAACTTAGTGACAGCATATTTTGTAAAGACTTCTTTCCCACACAAGCAATAAGAAATTAAAATGGGACAGCAGTGATTCTATTGTAGCCAAATATGTCTCTTTTTAAGGTCTGATACCAGTTTGGCTATAAACTAGTGCAACTCATTTTATCAGCATGGAATACAGACCTATTGGAGGCTGCATATCTGACCATGTGAAAGGGAGTTTTGATCAAAGCTCAAACAAAACACAAATGAAATTAAAGTAGTACAGCTATATATACAAATCATCTTGTGTCTATAAATTTACTACAGACATTATCATTGCATAGACTGGTATAATTGAACAAAAGGTTCTTAAATAAGGCCACAAGTATATGAGCGCTGCCACTTTATAATCAAATGGGTAATTGCTTAGAATGCATTTAGTACATGTCAATAGAAAACAAACTTTAGAAATGATGCTGTTTAAGGAAAAAGTTTTAGTAAGCCCCTAAGGTGAAAGAATTTTTTTTTATTAATCATTGCATAAAATAATATCATCAAATGTCCTTTTATAACAAGACTTTTTCTAGGCATATTTAACAAAAACATAAATGGAAACTTTGAGATTATCAGAGGCTTTAACTATCATCAAACTACAATAACTTCATGGGAAAAATATCACTAACAAAGTAGTAGGGAGTGCACTCATTTACTCAAGTCAAGTCTTTCTAAGCAAGAAGAACAAAAATCTTTTTATTCACATCCATTTCATACAGCACTATATTAGGCCCGGATACAACCCCTAATGAGTACATAGACATAAATAAATACAAGTTTTCACAGCGCAGTCATTGACTAGCATACAAAAGAATTGATGCATAAAACACTTCAGCAGAAAGTGGTTAGCATTCCTCATGATTTTCTATTACAAATAAAGAAGACAATAATGTACAAAAATGGGCCATGGAAACTGTAGTTAGTTTCATGAGGAAAAATTTTGGTCAGTTTTGCCGTTTGTGTCAGCAGGTTAAGTTCACAACATCTACCTCATCAACTTTGGCCCCTAGCATTTCTTCCCAGTTGTAGCAACTCATATCCACCTCCTGTAGCAACCATTCACTAGTATTGATTTCCTGCATGCTGTAGCGTTGCCTTGGGTTCACTTGCAACAAACCAAACAGCAATGTTGCCAAATCTGAAACGGAAGCAATAAGTCTGGGTATTTTATGATTGTAACGTCTCTTTTTGGTGACTTAGTAAGAACGCAAGCCCTTTTGCTTTAAAAGCGGTAAAGCGCTTGCCTTCCGAACCAGGGGTCCTGGGTTCGAAGACAGGGATTTTTATTTTTGGGATCTTTGGGCGCCTCTGAGTTCACCCAGCTCTAATGGGTACATGACATTAGTTGGAGAAAAGTAAAGGTGGTTGGTCGTTGTGCTGGCTACATGACACCTTCGTTAACCATAGGCCACAGAAACAGATGACCTTAAATCATCTGCCCTAAAGACCACAAGGTCTGAATGGGGAACTTACATAAATTGTGCAATAATATTTTTACAATGATGAAACAAGTTAGATTATGTTACTCAATAGCTGCATGTAAGTCAGATGAAATGGATTAATATCAATTATTGTCTTTGATAGTGATTTGTGAGTACAGCAGTGGGTTCCTCTATGATTTGTGTGTGAGAACATCTCTATTACCTTGTTATTAACAGTATAAATGTAACCCAGTGGTGCCAATTTATATGATTACGAATGTATGTTTTATTAATCAAATGTAGAGTATAGAAGGGGTCACATTGAAAACATACAAATACAATTTTTGTTAATGAAAAAACAAATTACCTTCAGAAATTGGATAAGGTAGTTCAGATGCTGTCAGCTCGTAAGGTCCAGATTCGACTGTAAAAGGATTCTCTTGAAACACAATTGTAAACAAAGTTACACCTAAAGCCCAGATGTCCAGTTCTGGACCATAGTAACTAGATGTCAATAAAAACGAACAAGACATAATTAAAAAAAAAAAAAAGTAAAATTATTAGCTATTTTATTAGCATTTATTTTTAATCATCAATATATAAAAGTCCAGACATTCTGTTATCCCCTGTAATAAGGTGTGCTAAATCTACTGTAATGTTTTTGTATTGATTTTAGCTATGGGGCAATAAAAAAAAATACAGGACCAGATTGATTAAAAAAAAAAAAAAAAAAAAAAAGGTTGAAGACAAAATGTACATTTTTATTAGTGTAATTTAGTCTCAGTCACTTCTTTTAAGCATTTAAATAATAGTCTATTACTGAAGACCCAAGTGATATGACTTAAAAGACATGCTTTTTCTAAAAAAATTGAGAAGCATATGTCGAATATTGACAAACTTGCAACCCATACAGGATATAGGGACCTGAGAGCAGACAAGAGTCAGATGCAAAGTTTTGGTTGCAGCATCAAGTCCCCAAGAGAGCTGAATTTAAGTTTAACTGTCTTCAGCACTACCAAGAGTGTTGTCATTGGTACAATAGTGATTATTCAGTGGGCTTGTACACCAAAGATAAGACTCACCCTTCTCCGTTGTGGACCTCTGGGCTGCAGTACTCCCTGGTGCCTCTGAACTTTGTGAACTTGACACCTGAAGGTAGCATGTAGCTAGCAGAGCCAAAGTCAATCAGCTTGCAATGAAATGATTTATTCACAACAACATTTTCATCTTTGATATCTCTGTGAACTATACTATTGGAGTGAAGGTAATCCACAGCTTGGACAATCTGAAATGACAGTAAGCAAAGATTAAAAAGAAGTTTTTGTTACCAATTTTAAACGTGGTAACTTAAAGACATTATAAACATTACAGCTTGATCATCACAGCTAATAATACATTGTGATTTTAGCATACTTTTTCTTTTTGTTTTAGGATGAAATTAATAGGTAAGTTTCAAGCATCAATTCATAATATGTCAATCTTCTTCCTCTTTAACTCTTTCAGTGCGAATTTTTTTGATCGAAAAAATGGAGTTTTCCAGAACGGACACAAATTTTCATTAAAAAATCGATATACTAAAAGATTTAACCTTTTATTCAAACATTTAATCTATAAATATTTAAAACATCACAATACTAAACACATTTAATCACTTTAAATTTCATTAAAGATGAATAAATGCAATATGAAATTGTATTATTTACATTTTTTGGGTCCCGGAAATAAAGAAAAAAAAGAGGAACCATTAACATAATTTGTCTTTTTTTTTTTAATGTGTTGGTACTGCATTGAATTTACTATCAAAATAAAGAACAATCACTCCCACATCCAGGAAGTTAAAAAAAAAGAGGGAAATAAAAAAGTTTAACATAAAAAAGATAGTGAAATAAATATTATAAACAAAGTTACTCGCTGAGAGTAATCCCGCACTCACCAGCGCTAGCAAAGTTACTCGCTGAGAGTAACGCCACACTGAAAGAGTTAACTTACAAAGTCATGGTGAACAAAATTTAATTAAGGTAAAATGGATTTTTTTTTTAGCAAAACTGAAAATATTTTGCTTCAGTAAAAAAAATGAAAATGTTTTTAACAGAATGGAAAACATTTTGTCACAAGACAGCTTCAATGTGCAATCTGATGTCAGCATCATAGACTGTGTTGCTCCTCTCTTTAAGGATTCCATTAAAAAAAAAAGTAATATTCTATTTGGCATATTTCATCTTGGTGCAATCTTTTTATGACCTAGATTACTTATTATTTCACTTTAACTCTTTCCCTCTATTTTTCCACGTTTCGACAGAATTCTTTAGTTTGCTCATTACTATTTCACTACCCTGTTAAGATTAAGCTTTAATAACTTTTTCGTTTGTCATTAGAAAATGTTTAGTTTGGTATAGAATTAATGGGGAATGCATGCTCTTTTTGTATAACACAAAGTAAAGTTTATAAAATCAAACATTAATTTAATTTAATGAGTTCTAATCAACAATGGTAATGTCAATTAGGAGAGAAACAGTTAACGCTTTTTGGTGTGAGCTGATTTGGGTTTGAGTCTAGGTAAAAAAAAAAAATGTCCAACAAAATATAAACCAAGTGACAATAAATACACTTTTGTGTGTAGATCTACCTGTTTAAACAAATGACAGGCTAATGGCTCATCAATGGGCACCAGATCAATGAAATCAAACAGATCAATCTCTCCAAAGTCTTCCATTACCATCTGTATAAAGTGTTGATTTTCATATACAGCCAACAGCTGCAGAGAAACAAAACAAAATAGCATTAGACCAAGAGCA